AGCTCCCTAGCTCACAGGAATCAGTGTAGTCCATCCATCCACACAAGTGATGGACTTGCCTTTGGGTAAAATGTTCAGTAATTTTATTTTTAACTGCAAARAGTGTCTTGTTAAATATGAGTGGCAGACCAAATAGTTAAAATAGGTAGTTTAAATGTCCTTAGCTTTCYRGAAAGGAGAAAAGTCAGAGCTGTCCYSRGATAACTCCTATCTGATTTKTTTTCTGCTTTGATCCAAAGATTTCTGGGTTGTCCAAGCGCTTCCTGCTCSCAGGACTATTTCAGAACAATGCCAGTCTTCTAGCAACAATTTGGGCAYAGTGGTGATCTGACAGAAAAGGGTAGGAGTTGGGCTCACTGAGCACATGAAGAGCAAACACATCAAGAGGGAGAACAGCTGCAGATAAGAAACTCTTCTCTTTCATGTGATTATCTCCATCTGAATTCACACTGTGAGCCACTTTGCGAATTTTACCTACTTTCCTAGAAAACTGCAACCAAACACACTTTGMTAAAGAAAAGAAGAGGATGCRTAGATATATGGTTGTTAAAAGTATAAGAACTGCCTTCAAATACCCCTGGGCACTCAGGTCCAAGCGAGAAAGGGATACACTGAAGACTCTTCAGTGTCTCTCACAATATAGTAGMTAATATKGAAAAAAWTTCMTTTTATGGGAAAGCAGAAGTGCTTTGACCCGACCAGCTGTGCTCCCACTCCACAGACATGGTAATTTTGTGGCCTTGRAAGTGCTTTGTGCCTGGGCGGACTCCCTGTTGGGCCTGCAGCCCCGAGCCCACACACCTAGCCCTGCCCCATGGCCTGCTGTTGCATCACAAGCACCTGGCTGGTGCTTCCCAAYGTGTCCCAACGGAACCCTTGTGGCCACGGCTACCAGTGTCCACCCGGGCCCCAGTGCAGCGCTGTGCTGGTGTGGGGCAGCAGGGAGACACCAGCTCCGAGCCCAGCAGCACTGCCCATGCCAGGGCATCGTCCCCAGCTTTGCTCTCGCCTGCCTGACACTTGGTGCTGCTCAGGATGGGGCACGGCCCCATCACACCCATCTGCCCAGTAACAGCACCGTGGGCCAGGGCAAATGCTGTGGTGCCTGGGGCAATTCTGGGCCCCTGCCCAGCTCACAGCCGCCAGGCTGCCCCAGCTGTGTGGCTTCTGGGACCAGCCGTGCGCTCCTGGACACCTTGGTGTCACGTCTTCTCAACAACCGCGTGCAGGTGACGGAGCACCAGTGCRTGAGGGAAAGGCACCTCCTGCGTTCCTCGACATCGTCTCCAGCTTCAAGTAAGATCAGTCTCGGTCACCCTTGCCCACTGCCTCTGCMASCAGCCCCAGGGCACTGCTCTTTCCTGGGCCTGCTCGCACAGGGACAGAAAATGCCTCCTGGGCCTGCACAGCACCTGGCCCACAGCAGACGTGGGCTGGCCCATCGCAACTCTGGCTGAGAGCTGCCCAAGCAAAACAGCGCATGCTTTTCTAGCAGCCTGATTGCCAGTGGGGATATCCACAGGTGGGCAGGAGAAGGGACTTTTGGCTGAGCTCTTTGCTTAGTTTCTTACTAAGAGCAGCCCTCTGCAAGGAATGAGCAATGCTGCCAAATATGGCTTCTTTAGATCTTCTAGGATTCTGCTTGTGCTGTCTTGATCCACAGGCCCTGATGCTGTGTCTGCTGGCACCACTGACCAGGAGGCCATTTTAGACGTGGCCGATGTGTGTGCTCGGCCTGAGGCTCCTTTCTGCTGTCTGAGGATCAACGTGGACACCCCTGCACTGGGCAGCTCCTGAAGCWTGAGGAGGTGCTTCACTCYGCAGGGAACATGAACAGCAAGAGTGTGGAGCTGTCACTGTAGCTCCCTGTGTGCAGGGCTTGGAACCCCAAGCTGCCACTTCCTGTTTCCATAGGGAAGGGGTCTGGAGGCAGCAGGC